CGCCCCAACTTCTGCAAGAGTGACCTGGGCAACTCCCACGGTGCCTGGGCCGCTGGGAAACGCTTGCAGACCTGCGGTCTCCTTCAAATTCTCCAGTGGGAGACTGCGGCCTCGCTTCCGAGGTGGAGGGTGGTGTAGACGAAGGGGAAAGGGAGGCAGCCCGGCCCACGGGGTGGGTCCTGCCTCTCCTCCCCGCCTGGCTTCTGAGCAGGAGGTGGCTTCGGAACCCGCCACCCATCCGCGGCACCGACGCCTCTCCCGGTTCCCGGGCGGGACCCCCGCAGGGCCGCCGGCTCCAGCGCTTCCGCGGACCGCAAGCGCCTTCCCCGCTGAGCTTGCGAGGAACGCGCGCCGCCTTCCACTTTCTCTCGGGACCGAGTCCACACGCTCTAGCCCAGCACGAAACGGCCTCGGGCAGGGCCGCACCCACCCCCGGGACCAGCCCGCGCCCCGCGGCCCGTACCCCGCGCCCCGCACACCGCCTCCCGGCGCCCCCCCCGAGCAGCTGCAGGCCCTCCCGCCCTCCCCGGACCTTCGCACCGGGACCCCGCGCGCCTCCCGCCTTCCCCGGACCCCCGCACTGACACCCCGTGCGCCTCCCACCCTCCCGGCGGGCTCAGGAGCCTGAGGCGGGGGCCCCGGAATGCGGCCAGTCTGGGGGAGGGTCAGGCGGGGGCCTGCTGGGGAAGCGGCCGCCCGAGGCGGAGGGGGTGCCGCGGGAGCCTGGAAGCCCGCGGGGCCGGGCGAGGGCGGCGGGGAGGGTCCGAGACGCGGGCCGGGGCGGCGGCCACCCACCTCCTTGTCCGGGACCCATTGCGGCTCCTCCAGGCCGAACGGGCTTCCGAAGGCGCGGTGCTCCGGCACCATGCGCAGGCCGCTGGGGGAGCGCACCAGCTTCTTGGCGTCGCGGCGCGCGGACACCTCGGAGGACATGACGCCGCCTCAGCCTCTCGGCCAGAGGCCCCGCACCAGGCCCCTAGCCCAGCCCGGGGGCACCGCCCGCCCCGCCCGCGCGCGGCTGACAGCGCCGACGTCCAATCGCCAAGCCCGCCACGGAGCGCGGACCAATCGGAGCTCGAACTCCGCCGCCTCTCCAATTCGCGTAAGGGCACCGCCCCTGCCACCCTGCGGTCGGTGACCAATCGGCGGTGAGGGCTGGCCCGGGCGTGCTCCGCCCATCTTGGAGGGATTGAGACTTTGGATTGGCTAGTTAGTCAGTCACGTCGGTGTCACTTCGCCTCTGATTGGTGTAGCCCTCGCAGGGCTCCCGCGCCTATTGGAGGAGGAGGCTGAGAGGGGCGGGACGGCGCGAAGAGGAGAGCGGGGCCCGAGGTAGGCGAGACTAGCTGAGCCACGCTGCGGGGCCCGACGGCGGTGGGGTCGGACGTCGTTGGCCGCCGCGGGCGTGAGGGGTGTGGCAGGGTCGAGGGGCAGGGGCGGCCGCGGATCTCCACTGCCGGAGCTGGTTGGAGCAGGCGGGCCTGAGGCTGCAGCCCGGGTCGCGTTCGGGCGCCTTCCTGGGGAAGGCGGGCTCGGGGGTCCCTGGTGCGCCGAAGGCCGAGGTGGGCCCGCGGCTGCGTCCCCGACCTTGGGCGCCTTCCCTTGCCTGCCTGGGACCGCGCTGGCCTGGCATCGAGGTGGTAGAGGTCTGAATACAGTTATTTAATGCTTTCGTTTGGAAAGAAAATCTTTAGGCCGGACGCGGTGGCTCATGCCTGTAATCCCAACGCTTTGGGAGGCCGAGGCAGGCGGATCACGAGGTCAGAAGTTCAAGACCAGCCTGGCCAACATGGTGAAACGCCGTCTCTACTAAAAATACAAAAATTAGTTGGGCATGGTGACACTTGCCTGTAATCCCAGCTACTCGGGAGGCTGAGGCAGGAGAATCGCTTGATCCGGGACCTGGGAGGCAGAGGTTGCAGTGAGCCAAGATCGATCGTGCCCACTGCGCTCCAGCCTTGGCTACGGAGGGAGACTCCGTCTCAAAAAGGGGGAGGAAAAAAAACTTTGTTTATCCTCCCTTTAATTTCTTATTACAAGGCGTGAATTTTTATTGTTTGAGACAGGGTCTTGCTCTGTCTCCCAGGCTGGAGTGCAGTGGCGTGTGATCACAGCTTAGTGTAGCCTTCACCTCCTGGGCTCCTAAGTGGCTGGGACCGCAGGTGCCACCACGGTTCTCGGCTATTTTTCTTTTTCTTTTTGGTAGAGAAGGGGTCTCGCTGTGTTGCCCAGGCTGGCCTCGAACTCCTAGGCTCAAGCATCCCGCCGCCCCGGGCTCCCACGGTGCTGGGATGACAGGCGTCAGCAGTTGAGCAGCGTTGAAGCCTCAGAAGTGGGGTTTGTGTGGCTGACTCTGCCCTCCCCCTTGGGCATTGGCAGTGCCGGGGTCCTTGTGGGTGAAGGAAATAAGGAGATGATCAGAGTATGATTCCACAAATCGCGTGGTTTTCTGTCAAAGAGAATTTGTTTCTAGTTTCACAGTGCTCAGGGGAGGCAAGAGGAGGAGGCGAAGACTTCTGGCAGGCAAGTAGGCGCTCCGTGGGCAAGGTGCATTGGCCACAGGGAGGCGAGTGCCAGAATGGGCAGGTCCAGTCGCTCCACTGGGATGGAGCAGGCCTCTGGAAATGAGGTCTGGTTAGAGTTGAGGATCTGCCTCAATAGCCACGGAGAGCAGGAGCGCAGCAGCTCTCTGAGAGGCCGGGACGGAGGACCAGCTCCCGGGCCAGCAGAGTATTGCTTGCCTCAAAGCATCTGCCCAACCTTCAAGTTGGTCTGTATTGTTGCAGTCCAGGAGTTAAGGTCAGTAACTCACATAAGGGAGTGTCTGAGAAGGTTTAAGAGGCATTTCCACTTGAGACCTCACAGATGTGGTCTGATAAGACATCACGCTCATAGTCTGATGTTTTGGTGCTAGGAATCACTTCAAAGCCACACAGCAGGTCCCAGGCCTGAGGCAGAGGAGGGAGTCCACCTCGGAAGGGTGGGAACAGCTCCAGGCCATGACCACAGCACTTCCAGAGTCTGGTTTGTGAGACTGACAGCTCTGGTGTGACCGTCCACACTCACCTAGCAGTGCCTGACAGCAGCTCTTCCCCAAAGTCATGGCTCAGCTGGGGTGCTGTCGGAAGAGGCACCGGTCTTGGGCCTGCCCCTTGCCTACCGAGGCAGCTCCCTGTGCATGGCCTTCACCCTGGTGGAGGGACGGGTTGGTCACACCCCTGCCCCTCGCAGAGGTGGGAGGACAAAGGCATGCATGGGGCTGTCTGTGGAGCTTCTAGGCCAGTGTCGGACATAGCAGGTGCTTGGTGGTAAATGGAAAATATTCCAGGAAACTTGTGAAAGCACGGTAAGCAGACCATGGTTTCGTTCAGAAACTCTGGGAGGTGTAGGAACCACTACACCAGGGTCTTGCAGCGGGAAGGAGGCTGGGCTCAGTTCTGGACAGGGCATGGGCTGGCAGGGCTTACGGCTCCAGAGCAGGGCAAGGTCAGAGGAGGGAAGGCTGCGAAGCGGAACCCGCAGGAGTGAAGGAGATTCAGCTTAAACTCACCTGCCAGGAGATCAGGCCGCCCTGGGGACAGTGTAAGATGAGGAGCTCCATCAGCTGTCAAGGGCAATGGGACACAGGGAAGGAGGTCCTCGCTAAACTGACTGAGCCAGGCCTGTTAAATCGAGTTCTCACCAGGATGTGCACAGCGCCCAGGAGGAGCTCAGGAGCCATGCTGCCATTGCCAAGCAGGGAGCCTGTTAACCTGTCAGTGGGCACTCTGCTTCCAGGCGTCTTGGCCCGTGTTGCAGAGGCCGGAGATGCTGCAGCCACGCGCTGGCCTTCCCGGTGCTCGTGCATGTCCTGCTGCTTGGCACAGTCCGAGTTGCATATCCAGATCCAGCCCGGGGCAGCAGCCTCCTCACAGCCCCCAGACCCGGCCTGTCTGACTGACATGCCTGCTCAGCGAACCGTCCCTCCAGTGCAGATGTGTGCTGGCGCCCAGGCTGTGTTCGGGTGGTGCCTCTGGTGTGGGGGTCCCCTACCAGCCCCGAGGTTCACACTCCCCAGGCTGCTTCCTGTTCTCAGGGCTTGGAGAGTGCCATGTTCTGAACACCATCTTCCCCAGCCAGGGAGGCCACATCTTCTTTGACAGCACAGTGCCTTCTCTGGAGGTAGCATTTCTTTATTTGCCTTCTGTGCCCGGGAACCTAACTTCCTCACTCTGGCCAGCTCTGCCAGCAGTTATGAGCTGGTCCAGCGCCCCACTGCCATGCCTTGGCCTGCGCCTGGCCCTCCAGGGTGGCTCCTTGCCAGTTCCCGTCAGGCTGCCTGGGCAGCCAGGCCTGGGCACTTTCCTGTCCCTTGTTCAGAAAACCCACAGGCTGTGGGGGCCTGGAGCCTGGTACGCAGGCAGGAAACACATCGTGGAGCGCCAGCTTCCCTGCCCTGCCCACCTCGAGGGTGCCTGGGGCCTCAGCCTGCGGCCCCCGGAGTCCAGTCCATTCTCCACACCGTGCCTGTCTCCCTGAGCAGGCTGAGCATGGGCATGTGAGTGACCAGCGTGATCGCATCCAGGCCAGTGCCACATTCTGTGTGGTTCGAGGAAAAGCCTTCTCCAAGTCTGAGGCCTGCCCTTTCCTCTGCGGGATTTCGGCTGAGGCCACTGCGCCAGACCTCACTGGAGGACACGGACCCTGGACCCGACCCTCAAAGCTGCTGCCTTCCCATTTCCCAGTGCCCTGGACACTCTTGGTCTTACCATTTGGGAGGCTGACGGGATGCAGAGTGGCCTGTCGGAAAGGCCTTGTGTGACGCCAGGCTGAGTCCTTGAGCAGCCCGCCGAGGCCAGAGGGGAGAAGAGCCGAGCTTCTCCCATGCTGGGCTGGGCTCGTGGAAGGGCTGCCAGCTCCCTTCCTGGTAGAGGCTGGGTGGGGTCCACAGGGCCTTCCGCCCGCCCGGAAGGAAGCTGTCTTCTGCTGTTGGCTGCTGAGACAGCTGGGGGCCGCCAGTGTTCAGATTCCTGAAGCACCCTGCAAATCCCAGACTCACCTTCCCACTCTTTCCAGAGTCCCCAGAGACACACTTAAGGGAAATTAAACTGCAGAATGTAAGAGATGCCTCAGTCAAATCGGCTGGAAACACACGGGTCATGGTGGGCAGGCGCTCACCTGCCGCAGGAGGATGGCCTTGATTCTAGCACTTTCCACGGGGTGAATGCGGCGGGATTTGGGGGATTTTTCAAATGCGTCAGTGTCTGGAATGGGTTCTAAGCTACCAAATAATTCTTAGAGGTAAATTACAGACGTGTTGCCTCATCATAGCTAGACAGCATTCTCTGTACAGTGAAGTGTCTCCTCCGCCCTCAGTGACAGACACCTCACAGACGCCACGGCTGCTGTCACTTCCCTGCTGCACGCCTCCCACAGGCGGTTTGAATTGGCGAGTGCCCGTGCGTCCATTGTTCTGTCTTCCTGCGAAGTTATTCATCCTGGTGGTCGGCCCACCGACAGAATGGATTTGGATCTGCTGGACCTGAATCCCAGAATTATTGCTGCAATTAAGAAAGGTACATTTATTTCTATTTGTATAAAGTAGGTTTGTGATGTAAAGTGTGTGTGTGGGGGGGTGCACTTTAAAGAAGGCAAGTTAACAAAATGCTGGCTCTCTAAGCCTGAGGCTTCCTCCCTTTGCCTCCCTGATAAACCGAGGCTGGGATGTACTATGGGATTTATGGGATTTTCGGGGGGGTGTGTGTGATGTTTTCTTAACTGCACGGACTTCTTTCAGTTAATTTTATTTTTATCTAAGTAATACTGCATCTTGTCTGAAAAGTGAAATGGAGCCACATATAAGTCTTTTAGTTATTTTTTTTTTAAATATTTACACCTGGGCTCCTAAATGTGTTTCTGTTGCAGTGTTTGATTTGTCAGTGTTATTGATTACCCATGGTCTTCCTTTTGGGGGCGGTGAGAATTGAGCCTGCCTACACCCTGTGTACCCCAGCTTCCTCTCCCCCAGCTCCCTGCACATAGTTAGAACTTAGTTTGGGTGACATCAGCTGTCGGGGCTGTGATTGGGCGCATACTGACCATTGTTGAACCTGGTGTAGTGGTGCGGGGGAGGGTGGGGTCGTTTTCTTTCTTACAACATCTTTTTCCCCTGAGTTAGTAAATGCTCAAAGCTTAGGCCCCACTTGCAGCCCCCAACCCCTGCTCCCCATGCCTGTGGCCCAGCTGTCATCCAGAACACTCCTTCCATCCTCCATCTTCCCCATCTCCCTGGTGAGAAACCGGAGTGCACGTGGAGCCTCTGCAGCGGCTTGGTGACAGGGCAGGGCCTCACTGTCCTGCCCCTCCATCCTTGGCTGTTGGTTTTCATCCAACACCACAAGGCTGTTGGTGGCCTTGTGATCACAGAACGGCTGCAACAGCTGCAGACACAACACTTGCAGTCCAGGGACAGAGAAGGGGAGTGGGCTCAGCCAGGGACTTCCGTTCTCACCCATGTCTCTTATCCAGAAATGAGTGTTTCCAGAAGTCCCTGCAGACTTGGCAGCTGTGAAGGGGGCTGAGGCCATGAGGCTTACCAGGGGGAGCCGTCCCCCCACAGCCCCAATCTCTGCCAGTCCACAGGGCTACACACAGCCCTCTGGAGCAGGCTGTCTGCGTGAGGCCCGCTCCGCTGGATCTGGCGAGACCTAGGAGTGCTTTCTTCATTCCCACCTTTCCATCTCCTTGAGTTTTCTGTGTGGCCGTTCCAAAAATCCCACCAGTGATGACTGTTTTCCAGCTTGATGGTTGTCTTTTCACTGCAGAACTCAGCCCACACGTGTTGAGGGAGGTTCTGATGTGACAGGTTTGAGCCTCTGGGCTAGCAGAGCCTCTGTCCACCACTGCTTCCTCTCCAGTGCGCTTCCTCGCACTCCCTTGATCTCACCACTGCTGCTTCCTCTCCTGTGCGCTTCCTCTCACTCCCTTGATCTCACCACTGCTGCTTCCTCTCCTGTGCGCTTCCTCTCTTGCACTTCCTGATTGGCCACTGCTTCCTCTCCAGTGCGCTTCCTCTTTTGCACTTCCCTGGTCGTCTGATAGGTCTGCAGCATTTGCCTTCTTTCTGCGAGTTTGAAAGTAGAAAGTGAAGTACTAATCCACGTCCAAAGTTAACTTCTTTACTTTTCTCCCAAAACAGTAGGTCATGGGGATCTGCACTTCTGTAACCGCTGCCACTGCCCTTCTGATTTGCACACACTCTGACCCCTGCCCTGACTGCCCTGCTGGTGTTTGGACCTGTGCTCTGCTTCCCTCCCAGCACTGCGTGCCCCCCCCACCATGAATGTGTTCTCACCTGCAGCTCAGCCTGGATCCGTGCCTGGCGGGTGGGTGGTGGACCTCGGCGTTAGTTCTTCGCTGCCCCTTTCTGGAGCACTGTCTCCAGCTGGCATGGAACTGGGTGCCTGTTGCTGCTTCTCAGCACCTGGGACCTGCCCGTCCCTGTCTTCTGGCTTCTGTTCCAGCTCATGTGAGGCTGACACCTGCCCGAGTACCAAGACTCAGGGTGCAGTGCCCAGCAGCCCTTTCCTCTTGCCTGTGGGTCAGCCACACTCTGTCCAGGGTTTCCAGGGAGCAGGGGGATCTGGTCCCTACCCACCTTGCCCCCAGAATCGGAAGCACAGTGTTCTCACAGTGCTCTTAAAAGCACCTTTCGTCGCCATGTTGCCGTGTGTTATTACAGTCTGATGTTTTCCTGTAATTTATCTGTGTCATTTCAGCCAAACTGAAATCGGTAAAAGAGGTTTTGCACTTTTCTGGACCAGACTTGAAGAGACTGACCAACCTCTCCAGCCCCGAGGTCTGGCACTTGCTGAGAACAGCCTCCTTACACCTGCGGGGAAGCAGCCTTCTTACAGGTAGGTGGGTCCTGGCATCTCCGTGGGGGTGACATGTGGCTCCAGCATCTCAGTCCATGTGCTGCAAGGCATGGGGCTGTGCAGACTCCAGGGACCAGCCTTGGGGCATGTGGCAGCTGCTCCAGCCCCAGAGTTCCCATCTCACTTCTCTTACACCCACAGGGCTGTGGTCACAGCATCGGGTCAGAAGATGGATGGGATGGACATGGAAGGGCTCTGGGGCCTCCTGGGGACCTGGCTCCTTGGGCCAGAGGAGAGGGATGCAGGAAGCAGGGGTGGAGTTGGTAGTCAGCACCCAGAGCCCCTCAGGGTCTAGCAGGGTGGGAACAGTGTGCTCTGAGGCCCTGGTCTTGGTCCCACCACCATGTTTGGGAAACCAGGCGTCAGCAGGGGAGGGAGGTGCCCAGCGAGCCCCATGCTCCTGGCCAGGCAAGGTTTCCATCCCTGCCTCTGAGCAAGCCCCAGTGGGCAGCGGGGTCCTGCCTCCCCTGCAGGTGGCTCTGTGGGCCCAGGCCTTAGGGAGGGCGCTGAACCGGGGTCTGCCATGCTGGGCAGGTGCCACAGCCACACACACGGTGCCATGGGCAGGGCTCTGGGCAGGCCTCATAGTCACGGTGGCCTGCCCTACCCGGCTAGGGTGCCCAGGGTGGTCTGCAGAGATGGGCTGCTCCTCCTGGCCCAGGCCCCAGGCCACGAGCACAGCCTGCACAGCATGTCCCACCTTGAGCCTCACCCTGAGGGGCCTGGGTGTCATGGAGGAGGCTGTGTCGAATGGCTCATCCAAGGCCCTTGAGCCATGAGGCTGTGACCAGCACTGCTCTAGAGTGGCGTCTATCACAGAGCACTGATGGCATGAGGTGTGCACTGTGCACATGCGGGAGCCCATCGAGGCCTTCAGACTGCTCAGCACCCCAGGGCACCCCAGCTGGACGGAGCTGCACCTTTTTCTTTAGGCGGAGGTTGTTAGGGGGCGCCTCGGGGCTCTCTGGAAACTTAGGCTGAAGGCGCCTGGTGCTGCAGTCGCCCAGTAGGGGTATTCTGGGGGCGTGTGATGGTGGCCCTGGGGCTCCCCTGACTCTGCACCTCAGGTCCACCTTCCCTTCCCGGCCAGGCCATCCCTCCCTGCCCTCGGGCACCTGTGCTCCAGCCTCCCTGCGCCTGGCACAGGCAGGCTGGCCGTGCCTCCCAGCCCTGCCTGCAGGCCCAGGAGAGCCAGGCCTGATGCCACTCCTGCCCTGCAGCACTGCACCTGCGCCAGCAGAAGGAGCGGTTCCCCGCACAGCACCAGCGCCTGAGCCTTGGCTGCCCAGTGCTGGACGCACTTCTCCGAGGTGGCCTGCCCCTGGATGGCATCACCGAGCTGGCTGGACGCAGCTCGGCAGGAAAGACCCAGCTGGCGCTGCAGCTCTGCCTGGCCGTGCAGTTCCCACGGCAGCATGGAGGCCTAGAGGCTGGTGAGCGGCCGCCCCCTTCCCTGGGGTCTGGGCAGGTGGGGGGCCCCTGCTTTGTACGGGAGAGCTTTCCGTTGAGGTTGGGGAGTGGTTGCCTCTCGGACTGTTCCTACCATTGCGTCTCCCTCCTCCTTCCCGTGCTGTTTGCTATCGCTCCTTCCAGCACAGGGAGGGGGTAGTGAGGCTGAGCTTGGCTGACAGCAGGAGGGGTGAGGGGGTAGGAACCCCACCGCCAGGCGCCTGCAGCCTGCCCTCAGCAGAGCTAGGCCCCCGGGGTCCACAGAGCCAGCAGCACATGAAGCGCAGCACGGCCCTTCTCACGGGTGCTCCAACGCCAGGCCGGGCACGCTCCTGGTACAGCACCATGAGCCTGTACGTCTGTCTGTGAAACAAGGGTTCCCTGCGTTGTACTGAAGCAGTCAGAGCGCTCCTGCTTGGGTCTCTGGGGTGTTAAAAGTTCATGTAGTTTTAAACTGTGAGCTCTGAGTAGGGGAAATGTGTTTCTTAGTAGCTCCATGTTGTCGTAAGCTCCATGTGAACAGAGTGGCAGCTTTTTTCAGCAGTGGCGCCTTCAAGCTCATCTGCTAGGCTCACTTCCCACATGGGGCAGGACCCGAGGCCCTGGACCCACAGGCCCTGCCAGCCACCTCCTCACAGGCCTGACCTGCCAGCAGTGGTGTGGCTGGGAACCTCTCCACTGCCACCCTTATGTCAGCACGGTCCCCGGGACCCAGGGTGTGCTGTGCCTGCTGAGCCTCAGTGTTGGGTGTAGTGGAAGGGGGCTCCTGAGAGACCTGGCTGGGGACTGCTCACGCCACAGGCATTTTTGTCCCTGCAGCCCTGGGGAGGGCGCCCTCCTGGCAGGTGCCTGGGTCCCTGCAGCTGGTCTCGGGGTGAGCCTGGAGACAGCCAGAAGGATGGGAGTTGGCCTTGAAAATGAGAGTCTCCCGTTTATCCCACGGAATAGTTTCTGTGAGATAGAGGCAGGACTCAAGTGTGCTGGGAATGGGACGGGAGCTGCCCTCATTCTCCAGCGTCCTCTGTGCCAGGCTTCGTGCAAATGTGATTTGTGCTATGACTCCCCCGAGCCTCCATCCTGTTGGCCTTTTCAGTGAAGCCCACACTCCCCCCTGCTCCAGGGACACGGGAGCCTTAGGACACCCTCCCTGCATCCCCCAGCTATGCCCAGCCCAGTGACCGCTGCGGGCGGCGTGAGAGCACGTCGGCCTTGTGGGCTAGGGGCAGGGAGGAGGCCCCAGGCCACCGTGACCATGTGCAAGATTAGCTCTAAGATGCCGTCTCCTGGGGAAACAACCTTTTGCTAGATTTAATCTAAAGGCCCAATTTTTGAAAAGAAAGTGGCAGGCAGTCTCTGGAGAGATTCTGAGTCCTGTGCTTGAGCCATGTGAGGCCCTCCCAGGCCCGCAGGGGCCCCGCCCACCACTGGGCTGCCCACAGCCACCTCCCTGCCAGCTTCGCGGTGTCCTGGTGGCTGTGCAGCCCCTTCATGCATCACCCCAACAAAAACAGGCTGCTTGACCAGTTCCCCCTGCTTCCCAGCCTTCCAGCCCAGCCTCTCCCCAGCCAACAGGGCGGAGGAAGCGCAGGCCCCCGCTTGCCTGTGACCCCCTGGCTGGGGGCACAGCCACATCTGGGGACTCTGGTGGGGAAGGGAACCAGCCACAAAAGAGATGTGGCCTTCCAAGGCAGTATTTGTACATCCCTGGCCCCACTTGGGCCAGATGCTTCTCAGAAGCTTAATTCTGACAGAACAGGGGGAAGGCTCCTGACTCTCTTTGCAGCTCTTCTCTATGGTTGAAACTCTGTCAGAAAAAATCAGATCAGAATGAAAGGTTCCACGGACACTCACCAACAGGCCGCATGCCACAGCGTGAGGTGCTGGCTCCCCACAGCTGCTATGCCGCTGCGGGAACCGCCGAGACTGGACCGCCTTCCTGGCACAGTCAAGGCCTAGGCAGCTCGCTGCTTTTTTTTATTACTCAAATCAGTCTCCCCAAGCATTCCTGTTTTTTTAATTGAGATGTAATTTACATGCCGTAAAATTCACTCTAAAAGCATAAAATTCAGTGGCTTTTAGAAGCACAAAAATTCTGTGCCCCTCACCGCTGTCAATTCCAGAACATTTCCCTCACCCTAAAAGGAAACCCCTCCTCATGAGCGTAAGCCCCCGCCCCCAGCAGCCGCCTCCCTTTCTGTACCTGTGGTTCGTCCCATCCTGGGTGTGCCATGCGAGCGAATCCAACAGCACGTGGCCTCGTGACGGGCTTCCTTCACTGGCATTGTGCTCTGGAGGTTCGCCTGTGCTGGAGCAGGCGTCAGAACTGCCTTCCCCTTTGGGACTGAATCATACTCCACCGTAAGGACGGGCCGAATTCTGTTGGTCCACTCCTCAGTTGATGGCATCTGGGCCGTTTCCCCTCGGGCTGTCATGAAACGCACTGCTGTGGACACCGATGTGTGTCTTCAGGCGGGTGTCTCTGCTTGTGGGACTGCTGGGTCATGTGATTGGTGTTTAGGTTTTTAAGGAAGTGCCAGTTGTTTTCCGAGCTACACCATTTTACATTCCTAGCAGCAGCGTACAGGGGTCCTCTCCACATCCTCACCAACATGTGTCTTTTTAAGCCAGTTTTTTGAACTGAGCAATGGCACAGGTTCACGTGGAGCCCAGACTGCAGGAGCTTTGAAAGTGGAAGAAATATTTGCTCAATGGGGCCCTAGAGGGTGGCTGTATGTGGTGCTCAGGGGCCATTTCCAGAAGGTGTTGCCCTGATCCTTCCACTTGCTCCCTGCCCTGCGGTGGGGGGACAGATGGGCACGGGGGGCATGGGGGAGGGAGGGGGCGTGGAGCAGGAGAGGCCTCCTGTCTGTGGCCATTCCAGCCTAGGGCCCAGGACAGGGGAAGACCTTGCCTGGGTGTCAGAAGTGGAGGCCCAGCCCGTGTTCCTCCTGGGGAGTCGCCTGGCTCCAAGGTGGCTGCCAGTGGGAGAGAGAACCAGCGCCAGCCTCCTCCCTCCCCGGGCCAGGGGGGAAGAACCTGTGAGGGGCAGAGAGTTAGAAATGGTGGGAGACATCTGCACTTGATGTATGTGGTGGCCACAGGCCATCTGGAGCCCCTAGGCACATCAGGCACTCTGGCTTCCCAGGAGCCATCTACATCTGTACAGAAGACGCCTTCCCACACAAGCGCCTGCAGCAGCTCATGGCCCACCAGCCACGGCTGCGCACTGACGTTCCAGGAGAGCTGCTTCAGAAGCTCCGATTCGGCAGCCAGATCTTCATCGAGCATGCAGCCGACGTGGTGAGTGCGGGAGAAGGCCTGGGACATCCCAAAGACAAGCTGTTCAGGACCACAGGGGCAGCTATAGCCACCACGGCAGTGGGATCTCACAGTAGGACCAGAGAGACAGGGCTCAGCTCTGAACACAGCATAGGCCATGGGGGTTGACAGCCAAAGAGCAGGCGGGTCAGAGGATGGACAGTGACTGGGCGGAACCGGCAGGGGAGGGGTTCTGGCCAAAGCGTCCTGCCAGGATCCTTGCTGAAGGTGGGCCGTGGGGAATCAGACCACCCCTGGGGACAGTGGAGGATAAGGAACGGATCAGCCACTGAGGGCGATGGGATTCTCAGCAGGGATTGCCAAAACTGGATTTCATGAGGACATGCACAGATGGGCCTAGGAGGAGGCTAGGAGCCTGATGGCAGTTTGGCAAGCAGAGAATCCTGGCCAGGAGTGGCTGTGGGCTGCGACATCCAGTTATGTCTCAGTCTCAGGCAGCTTCAAAGCATGGTCTAGAATGAGGATGCCCATATTCAGACTGACTTTCTTTGTTATCTGAAACTCATGTAACTGAGCGCCTGTACACCGTCTCTCAACCCTGCCCATGACGACAGAGTAGAGAAGAGAAGCCCCAGGTGGGTGGCAAGGGCCTGCTCTCCAGGCTACTGCCCTGGTGAGAGAGCTGTGTGGGTTTCACCCCCGCCTCTGAGGGGAAGACGGCCCTCACTGGGGACACAGGCCGGGCACCCAGCTCAGACAGGCAACCTCAGATCCTTGACCACCACCTGGCTGCTGGCCTGCCTGCACACACTGGCTGGGCTTGGAGGAAGGACTCCATGGCAGGGCCTTCCAGAGAGCAGGGGCCACTCACAGGGGGGCCAGTCAAGTCCGTCCTGTAGCCAGGAAGCAGGCGAGAGGCCGGGACCCATTCTGGCAGCTGGGGCAGCAGTGCTGTGAGCTGTCAGCGTTTAGTTTACAGAGATCATTCCAGGGAGGGAGAAGTGATGAGTAGAAAAGATCCAGAAGGAAAGATGGGAAGTTTGGGATTAAACCCTGACCAAAAGCAAACAAGGAAATTCCGCCCTGAGCAGGGGGAGCAGCTGCCATGCCCAGCCCACCCTTGACATGGCTGTGGCTGGGCAGAGCCCCTAGGTCCCAGGTGGGCCTTCCCCCACTTCTCAGAGTTCCTATAAAAAAAACTTCCAAGTGAAACATAAGGCATATAATCTTTTAATTTAAAAAAATGTACAATAAAATACATTATGGCACACAACGCGAGGAAGTTACACGTGGGAAGGGAGCTACGGGCCCAGCTCATGCCTCAGGTCTCCTGGGAAAGGCCACACCGCACCAGGGCACCAGTTTCGGCCCAGCCCCAGCCCCAAGGCTGCGCCAGCTGTATAGTCATTAGTAGTGCGCCCCACGCACACAGATGCAGGAGAAATAAGAGTGCTGCGGCTCCACCGGGGGCCCTCCCTGCCGCCTGGCTGTCTTGGGCCAGCTCTGGGCCACACTCGGCATTCCCATCCTGGAGTGGGACCAGGTCGGGGTCACTGCAAAAGAAGGTGGAAGGTCAGGGCTGGGCTGCCAAAACCTGATAGTGTTACTAACTTCTGTTCTGGAAACAGCTCTGGGGAGCCCTGACCCCAAGTCTGCCCAGAGCAGCGGGTGTTGCTGGTTGTGAGCCTCCCTGGGGCCGAGGGGCCATGGGCAACTGGTGCGTCTTTGGCCTCTACTCCCTGGAGCGCCACAGGCCTGAATCTGGCATAGGGGAGGCCAGCGGTGTAGACACAGAGCCTTCTCTTGGTGTAAGCAGGGCCTGGTGCCATTCCCACCCCCCACTCTGCTGTGGCCCTTGGGCTTGCATGAGGATGGGGCTCCCTGAGCTAAGCCCCTCTTGAAGGCCCAGCCCTGCAGCTAGCAGCAGCCACCACTTGCCCATCCCCAGTCCCCCAGGTGCCTGCCTCCCGGGGTTGCAGGCTGCGGAACTCACGTTAGCGATAGCGTCTTCCAAGCCACTGCTGCTGCTGTCGTTTTCCACAAAAAGAGGCTCGGCCAGAGACGCCCTGGAGACGAAGCACAGAGTTTCACTCAGGGCTTGCAGGCAGGCCCTCAGGCATCTTCAGAGCTCCAGGTGTGACACCAGGGTATAGCTGCAGACCTTGGACTTGGGGGGCCGCCTAGGGGTCCCTCACAGCCTCCATCTGGCCAGAGCTGCTGGCAAGGCCCATGAGGCCTGAACTGCCCTGCTTGGTGCCAGGAGCAGCTGTGCCACCCTCCCCCATCACCACGGCTCACCAAGCTCTGTGGTCAGAGGCCAGGCCATGCCAATGGCCCTAGCACCCACAGAGCACAGCAGCACCCAGAGGGAGGCTGAGGATACCTGCCTTCCTTGGGGGCCCCTCTCCTGGGAGCCGGTGGGCACAGGGCCATTTCTACCCCTTGGCCAGGCCAAGCCTGCTCAGAGCACAGGGCTAAGGCCTGGGAGCACAGGAGGCACTGGCCTTAGGGGTGTCTCCACCTGCAGCCCCACCCTGACCCCCACGTGGTCTCCCAGGGTGTCCCACGCCTCAGTAGAGGCAGGCGAGGCCTGACCCACCTGAGTAACAGCCTGAAGGGCATCAGGCCCCTGCCTTGCTCAGTGTCTGGAGAGGGTACATCCCAGGTGATCATGGCCACCACAGGCTAGCTTTGATGGCACTCTGGCCAGGTCCTGGTAGTCTTGGCACCTGCCATGGGGCCACTAAAGGAGGGGGGTGGTAGCTGCTGACCCGTGACAGGGAGATGCTGAAACCATGGCAGGAGTGGGAGCAGACCCCCACAAGGACTCAGGAGCCTGGGCAAAGGACCAGAGGAGGGACAGGGGTCCAAGGGAACCAGATGTGTGGGCCTAAAGCTTCTATAATTGGAGCCTTCACTGGACTGGGCCCAGAGTATGGGGGCTGCAGAGCTGGCATCATCAGCCCCCAGTGGGTAGGATGATTCTGAGTCAGACAGTCGAGGTGACAGTCCAAAGGGGGTCTGGTCATCTGGGGCAGGGGCTGCAAAGGCAATGGCAGCTGTCCCCACAGGACACCTTGTTGGAGTGTGTGACTAAGAAGGTCCCTGTTCTGCTGTCTCGGGGCATGGCTCGCCTGGTGGTCATCGACTCGGTGGCAGCCCCATTCCGCTGTGAGTTTGACAGCCAGGCCTCCGTCTCCAGGGCCAGGCGTCTGCAGTCCCTGGGGGCCACGCTGCGTGAGCTGAGCAGTGCCTTCCAGAGCCCCGTGCTGTGCATCAACCAGGTGGGTGGCAAGGCAAGGGTGAAGCCGTGAGCTCGTATTTTTAGCCAGGATGTGAAGCAGAGCTGGTCTGGAGGTGGGGTGGGTGGCAGTGAGGTGGCCTCTGGCTCTCGCGGGTAGCAGCCTGTGCCTAACCATCGGGAAGACCCTCAGCCGCTGCAGCTGATCTGGACTGGGCTCTTCCAGGTGACAGAGGCCGTGGAGGAGCAGGGCACAGTGCACGGGCCACCGGGGTGAGTACAGCCATATGTCGCGTGTGCCTCTGCACAGGTGACGGGGTGCAGCTGGGCCGACGTGGGCAGGGTTACCCAGCCTTCTGAGCGCCAGCCCACCCGCTTCCTGTTTCTCAGGTTCTGGGATGAGCGCATTTCCCCGGCCCTTGGCATAACCTGGGCCAACCAGCTTCTGGTGAGACTGCTGGTTGACCGGCTCCGTGAGGAAGAGGCTGCCCTCGGCCAGCCGGTACGAACCCTACGGGTGCTGTTTGCCCCCCACCTGCCCCCCTCCTCTTGTTCCTACACAATCAGTACAGAAGGGGTGCGAGGGACACCTGGGACCCAGTCCCACTGACACGACAGCAGCTGCAGAACAGCCCTGCCTGAGAAGCCCTGACACTGGCACTCCGGCCTTTAAAATGCTGTCTGCCTTGGCCGTGGCACAGCTGGGAATCTGGTTCAGAGCCCTCCTCCAGGGCAGCAGCTCCACTTTCTCAACTGAAGATGGTGACCACGGACTGATCCCCACCTGAGCTGGGCGGGAGGCGGGGGTGGGGCGCACTGTTCCACCCCTCCCTGGGTTTGGGGGCAGGCCTGGCTTGCTGGGCACCTGGTCCCCACTGCTGAGCTGGCCCTTGGGGGGCAGGTGATTCTCAGGGCTAGGGCCTGGAGGTGTCCCTACAGTGACTCCCTGGAAGCCCCGCTGCTTTGGCTTTCCACATGAAAGCCCACCTGGGGTCAGGTCTGAGGCCTGGCACCTCAGACCCCACAGCCCCTGGGGCCCTGCCCACCAGGGATCCCTTCCTCCACACAGAGCAGTCCTTGCTCCCCCTACCACCCAGGCCACAGCGGGGCTGCAGGCAGGTGGTTCCTCCTCACCCACCTCTGGGTCCTCGGCTCCTGGGGGCCCCATCACAGCACACACTGTGCCTCTCAAAACTTCAATGTGTGGTACAAGGTGAAGAAAGCATTTCCCACTGATCTCCAACTTCAGGGTCCAGGGGAGCCTGGGGGTGGGGGGACTGCCTTGACTCTAGTAGTGTGGCCTGTGCCAGCACCACAGCCAGATGGAGGCGCTCAGGCAGTGCAGGGCTGGCACATGATAGGCTCATCAGTTAGCTGGGAACACAGTTCTGGGCAAGGAGGATCTGATGTTGAGAAAAAGGAGTGTGCCAGTACATCCTGGGTGCCCCCAGGCAGTCTGGGCATCCAGCTCAGCTCTTGGCCTGTTTGGGTGGCCAATCTGGTAGGGATATGGCAGGACTCCTGGCAGGGCCACCTGCAGGCCCAGCCGCACACTGTGGCGAGACCTCACATCTGGCTGCAGATGCTGACATATCTGCCTAGCGGCGAGAAGTGGCATGGCCTCCTCATGGGCAGAGCAAGGACCCTCTTGATTTCCCACAGCAAACCTCCTCCACCCCCAAGTGCCCCCATGTACTGCCTGGCACCGAGCAGGCCTTTGACAAATAAACGGCGAATGGATGCAGTTCCAGGACCTGCTTCTTGCTGTCTGACTGCCACTCCTCCAAGTAATTTATGCACATGGAGGTGTGTTCTCTTCACAGCTCCTGGGGACAGGTACTGTCACTACATCTCCACTTGCAGGCAGGGAAACTGAGGCCCAGAACTGTCAAGTGGCTTGAGTCCTCCCACAGCGCAGAGGCAGAAATTGTCACCCCCCCATCCCATGTGCACAGGGTGAGCCTGGGGGTGCTCACCCTGTGCAGTGGGAGGAGAGGCCGGTACTGGTTGTGGGGAAGGTAAGGGGTGGGGCCATACTGTGCAGAATTTTTCTTTTGCTGTTTTCGAGGGTGGGACAATCCTTTAAAACCTTCGTCACATTATCAAGGCTCTCTATGACCCTACGGTTAAGAATCACTGGCATGAAATAGGAAAAAGTTATTTTGGGGTTGGATTTTTACAAAACAGCCTTTCTGCAAAAGTGCAGGGATTTTACAACAGGAAATAAAACATTTTATTTCTGTAACTGAACATAAGCAATTCCAAATGCTTTTCTAGGCAAGACATGCGAGCAATGAGAAAATGAGACACAGCTTAAAGACAGAGGTACATTTAATAGAGAAAACATTCCTGGAAGCTAGGCCGGCCCCGCCCATTCTGGCTCAGGTCCTGCCCTGGAGGGAAGGGGCTGAGGAGCTTCCTGTCCCAGGGAACTGGCCCCACCACGAAGTCTGCAGAAGGGCTGGCCTGGCAGTCGTAGGAGCACTGACCATCCCCTTGGGAAGGCACCACCCCTGGGGAGACCGGTCCCTGCCCAGGGCCATAGGTCTTGCCCTGAAGACCCTCCCTCAGGGACCACGTGCCCCGACCCTCATTTCCTCACCATTATAAAACACTTTAAAACCACTTAAGTTCTTCCCCACAGCGTTGGGGAACTCATTGTAAACAATACACGTCTATGTGTCAGCCCTGAGACAGCCGGCCCCACTGCATATACAGCTGGCGGCCCTGGCAAGACGCTGTCAGAGACATGAGTGCTCTACAGGATTCAGAAACCTGAACACAGTGTACACACAGCTCACAAGTAAGTGCCAACAGAAGCTAATGACATCCTCCAGGAAAATTCCATAACGTTATGATAGTGTAAAACCTGTTACAGATTGTAACCATATCTCCTTAGCAGTGTTTAATATATCTATATCTATAAATACTGAATTTCTAATTACATGATATTCCTAGCAGCTTTCTGACCAAATAGAAATCTTTTTTTAATTCCAGAAATTTCAGGAAGTAACTATGTGAATCCCTCCAAGCTGTAAACATGAGACCAAGTGCTGCCCACAAGAAGGCCCCTGTGCCACCCATGGGCACCGCCAACCTCAGAGGACCCCTGAGCTGCACACTGCTGCTGCCTCAGGGAAGCACCCGTGTCACAGGGCCTCCCGAGGGCCTGGTTTCTGTCACAGCAGCACAGACTACCCAGAGGTATGCTGTACACTGGCAGAGCCAGACACTCCCATGCAATGGTTGCTGGGCCCCTGCGCTGCACATGTGGCTGCCGTGGGGGGAGCAGTGATTATTTTGACAGCAGCTCTGAAGAAACAGGTGCTGACTCTCACGCAGGGTTTCCCTCACCAGAAAGACAACACAAAGGAGCAGGCATGGCTGGGCCCACCACTTCTCTCCTCTGAAGGCAAAAATTCAGAAGCACCAGATGGGAAATTAATTAAAACCCCCGCCCCCTGGGGGGGGGGGCGGGGGGGGGAGGTTCAAACATCAGAGACTCAGATACTCAAATTCCCTTGCTGCTTCCCTCTCTGAAACACGAACCTTCCTCTACAAGCTGGCTTCAGGGAGGCCCTCTGGCTTCTCTTACCCATCAACACACTGCTCCACAGCCAGTGCTGCAGAGGCCCCACACAGCCTCATCTGCACCCATCAGTCTGAAGAGGTTAAAACTCAATTCCATATTCAGCCCTATGTTTATTCCTTCTAAATGCCCTTTTCCTTTCCAGAGAACCGTCAGTAAGGGAAACTGTCTGGGTTCCAAACTCTGCTCAGCATCCTCACAGGGAGAAGACACCCCCACCACAGGAGAAGTTCTGGAGCCCTCCTGCCTGTCACCTGTGGGGGCAGCCACGGCACCTGCCAAGGGAAGCTGCTCTACACCCCCCCCTTTTTTGTGGGGTGGCTTCTCACAACCCATCAAATTATATATATGTGGGTTTTTTTGGTAGAGACAGACTTGCTATATTGCCCAGGCTGTTCTTAAACTCCTGGGCTCAAGAAATCATCCCACCTCAGCTTCCCAAAGTGCTAGGATTAGGGGCGTGAACCACGGCACTTGCCCTTGTATGTATGTATGCATGTATGTACGTGTATGTGTATATATATATATATATATTTTTTTTTTTTTTCTCCTTCCTCCCTCTTTTTAAACATTTTTTTCTTTTAATCCCACCCACCATTACAGAACCTATCACATTTTTTTAAACATCTCTGTGTAGAATTTAAAAGTTCCTGATCCATCAGAATCTGCAAGAATGGAGTCAGGAGCCTCAGAAAAGGAGTCACAGCCACAGGTGGGCAGCTTGGGGACAGGGCTTGTTCCATGGGGCAGCTCCTGAGCCAGGCACTCACCCACAACTAGATGGAGCTCTGTCTCTCAGAAACACGCCTTTTCCCAAACACGGCAGTCCTCGACACGAGATGGGAGGAAATGACATGAAACTTTTAAAGGTATTTTAAAGCCTAGCCTTGTAACAAAACCCCAGGATGCTCTGTTGCCAGCCCTTGGCCCCATGCCCCACAGGAAGCTTCCAAGGGCTGGAGGCGACAAGTGTGAGCCTCTGTTGTGCCGCCGCCTGCCCTGTGATGTGAAAGCAAGCTGGCCTTTCACGGAATGGCCAGTGTTTCACAGACCACCCCTCTGTCCTATAGCATAGCAGGCTGGCATTCATCCTTTGGAATCTATGCTCACCTCAGCGTCTGTTTTGTATGCTCTTTACCTATGGGTTAGTCTGCGGACGGCCCTAAGAAAGATGGCCTCAGCATTAATTTGAAAATGTTCCTGTCAAGAGTCCACCACGTTACTTCATTCTGTAAAGCTTAAGCTTTTAAAAAGTGAAAGGCACATCTCTATGGGCTTTGTGTGCAGGGGCTCCAGGAGAAAGAACAGTGCTCAAAAGGGGTGGGCGTGGGGCCCCAGGCCTTGCAGGCGCCCAGGGCCATAGGCACGGGGACCTTGGAAACAGATACCCAGGGGATTCGCTTCCCAATGACCAATGTCTGCTAAGCTTCAGGCTTTACTGCCGCAGATCACTAAATGCCTATAGTTCTGAAAGGGGTACTTTACATTTCCAGATTCTTTATTTACAGCCCTTTTTTTTTCCTTTTGAGACAGAGTCTCGCTCTGTCTCCAGGCTGGAGTGCAATGGTATGATCGATTCACCACAACCTCCGCCTCCTAGGTTCAAGCAATTCTCCTGCCTCAGCCTCCCAAGTAGCTGGGATTACAGGCATGCACTACCACGCCCAGCTAATTTTTTATGTTCAGTAGAGATGGGGTTTCTCCATGTTGGTGAGGCTGGTCTTGAACTCCCAACCTCAGGTCATCCTCCCGCCTCATCCTCCCAAAGTGCTGGGATTACAGGTGTGAGCCACTGCGCCCAACCCAATTTACAGCCTTATTACAATGTTACAATTTAAAAGAGAGTTTGGTGTTATGGCAAAAAGGTAGCAGGCAGGAAATGCAACAGCGTCTGTGAGCAGGAGCCAATCCCCAGCATGCTGAAGCCGCCTCGGCACCCCCTGTGCCTCCCTGGGCCAGCCTGGCTGGGTGGTGGCTGGGGCAGCTCCTGGCACTAGGACTGCAGGCCGGGTAACAGAATGCTGGGGCACGGCTGCCCGGGTGTTTTGAAAAGGCACCTCCAAGGTTGGTGGACGTCACTATCTAGGAAAGAAAGCCAAGGAGTGCGGCTGGCGCCTCCGGGCAGGGCGGTGAGGGGCGTGTCAGGGCGAGGCAGTCTCACACTCGCAAGGCAGGTTACCTAGCCCTGCTGCCCTCAGTGGGCCAGGTCAGTGTGGCTGGCACTCAGAGCTCGTGAGTCTGCCAGACAATTATTTCGTTCCTGCATGAAAAAACAAATGGAAAAATTACACTTAACCAGGACTTCAAATGATGCCAGCTTCAAATGGCCTCAAGCCTAACAGTACCAGCTGCACAACTAAGTCTAGGTTGGCACTCGAGAGCCCCAGGAGTCCCTGTGTGCAGGGAAACTCCGAGAAACCAGAGGGCAAAAGACTGGGTCAGCTACAGAACCCTGTAAAACAACAGACTCTTTCCTCTCATTATTGGGGTGGTTCAAGCAAAACGTCCAGCACCCTCCCAGCCTCTTTAACAGCCACTGAGAAGGAGGCTGGGGAAAAGCTTTCCAGAGGCAGCTGCCCCCCAGGAGTCTTGGGGGACAGGTCGGGGTGCTGGCCACCATCACGAGCTCTCAACACCAGCACAGGGGCAGGGACTGCCAAGTCCCAGCAGCTTGAGCTGCTGGGCACCTGAGAAACAGGCAGATACTAGAACAGCCACAGGCACCGGCCACCCACTGACAGCCACACAAAGGGCAGAGTGGATGAAAACTCAGCATCTGCGATGGGGAAGGGAGCCAGTGCTTTCAGGCACCAGCCACCAGCTGACAGCCACACAAAGTGCTGAGTGACTGAAAACTCAAAAGGCCTCCATGACGGGGAGGGGAGCCAGTACCGTCAAATGTGAACCTGATGTGTTTGTGAGACCTGGACACCTTCACTAAGTGCTCAAGATTTCAGTGTCAAACGGACAACAGGTTAGTCGTCATGTTAATACAAGTTTGAATACTCTTAAACATTGAACAGCTTAAGTAGACAATAAATTATTAATAATTATAAACTTAGTAGAGGCTAAATCAAACTAATCATACAAACTAGTAACTGGTCAAGCTTCGATAGTACTTGAACAGAATATATTAATTAGGTTACACTATTTTTAAATAGTTTGAGATCATCACTATTCTGAGAATGTTCACGGTGTGAACATACCCATAATTCACGTCATCAGTGGTTAAGCAGAATAGTAAAATACTACTGTCACAACTGTCTGTCTAGAAACAAACATCGAGGCATCCCCAGCCCTCTGCAGGAGCAGGGGCAGAGCGGGGGCTGGGCATGGGTCTGCAGCAGACCTGTCAGCATGGTCCGGGCACCCCAGGACACAACTCGGGGTAGGCTCCTTACTTGGAAGCGATCTTCAGCAGCCTTGCCACCAACGTTAAGGACATTCAGAGAGCTGGCACGCTTCATGCTGCAACCCGGACACGGACATGCAAGGACAAACGGTCAGCACATCGGTCAACCAGCAACAGGAAGCACAAGCAAAGCCCCCTCCAAGGCCTCTGTGACACGGGTTCTCGGGACCTTGCCTTCATCTTGCTTGGGTAACATGGGAGTCCAGGGTCTCACTCTAGTTAGTGCCCAGGAGAAAAGACCACAGTTCTCTGCATCTTTCGCAGTAAAATGCTTCTTTTAAAGTACCATATAGAAACCCAAAGTGTCCTTATATTTGCACTTTTAAAAAGTGGCTCATCTAGACTAGGCGCAGCGGATCAAGCCTGTGTAATCTCAGTGCTTTGGGAGAGGCCAAGACAGGAGGATCGCTTAAGCCCAGGAGTTCAAGACCAGCCCAAGCAACATAGGGAAACCCCATCTCTACAAAAATTAAAAAAAAAAAAAAATTAAGGCTGGGCGTGGTGGCTCACGCCTGTAATCCAAGCACTTTGGAGGCCAAGGCAGGCAGATCACCTGAGGTCAGGAGTTCAAAGACCAGCCTGACCAACATGGTGAAACCCCATCTTTAAAAAAAAAAATTAGCCAGGCATGGCGGCGTCCATCTATAGTCCCAGCTGCTCAGGACTCCATCAGAGAGGGAGGATCGCTTGAGCCCAGGAGGTCAAGGCTGCAGTGAGCCGTGATCGCACCACTGCACTCCAGCCTGGGTGACAGGGCAAGACCCTGTCTCTCTTTAGAAAGAAAAAAAAAAAAAGGTGAACTATCTGGGAGCAGAGAGGCTCTGCCTTCTGTCTGATGATTTTCAGGAAGGGAGTTCAATGGCTCATGTCAGATTCATCACCATTAAGGGATCATGAAGAGATACTCAAAGTTCACTGCTAAAAGAAGATGCATAAATATACTATTTTTTACCTCTTTCTATATTAAAAGCAGGGAAAACAACTTTATTGTTAGTAAAATAAACTCTGAAGCCAGTATTTCTCTACTTAGACACCAAAAATTAAAGAAATGGCTCTACATTTAAAGAAATACAGGAATTTATACATATATTTACTTTTCCTCCCATCGGATATCTTGAAAATACCTGATGAAATAGCCTATAAATTATCTGTAACTTAAATGATGGACAGTCATAAAATGACTATCATTGTTCACCACCACCATGGATGCCTCTGAACATAAACTCACCTGACGTTTTAAAACTAAAGCAACCAATACTGAGGGTTACTTAAATTCCGAACGTGAACTGCATGCAACATGGACAGCACACATCAGCATGGCAGTTCCCAGGCAAGCCAAGGACGATGGCTGTGAGGCTGGGGCACAGGCTTGAAGGGTGACAGGGACGGCCTCACACAGGACGCTGGGATGGGGCTGGGAGCCCAGAGCACCCGCCCATGTGTCAGCAGTGCTATGAGCACAGCACCTGGCACATGGCAGACACTCAGCCAGCCCCTGCTGAACAACTGCACCAAAAGCAAAGACCTGAACTTCCTTATCCCCAAGCAAAACCCATCCCCAAAATGTCTCAACCAAGACAAAACAAAAACATCCCAATGAAGCTTGCACAAACACTGCTGAAGTCTGAAACAGGTTTTTCTCTACCTAGAATTACTCAAGAACAAAGTATAAAATCAAACCAAATCACAAGTAAATTATCATCTGACATACTCAATTATTCTTGCTCTTGTTTAAGTGGCCATTAACTCTTTTCTTTGAGATGAAGTTTCGCTCTATCACCCAGGCTGGAGTGCAGTGGTGTGATCTCGGCTGACTGCAACCTCTGCCCTACCCCAAGATCCAGTGTTCTCCTGCCTTAGCCTCCCAAGTAGCTGGGATTATAGCCGCCTGCCACCAAGCCTGGCTAATTTTTGTATTTTTAGTAGAGAGAGAGTTTCACCACCTTGGCTAGGCTGGTCTCAAAGTCATGACCTCAAGTGATCCACCCACCTCGGCCTCCCAAAGTACTGGGATTACAGGCGTGAGCTACCATGCCCGGCCATCATTAACTTAAAAAAGAGCTACACAAACCTCCCTCAAACTCCCTTTTACGAAAGGATAGAACAATTTAACATCTCTTCCTACCTCTCCCTCGAATTGCCTCCTTTGAACACGTGGCTTAGAAACCTTTTAGTACAGCAACTGTTAGGAGTCAGGCCAAACAGCAAACTGCAAACACCCTGGTCCTGCTACATCCAGCTCAGTGATTCTCAAAAAGTGACCTGGGGCCAGCAGCCGCAGCACTGTGGGAACTTGTGTGAACCGCAAATTCCGAGGATCAGGCACTCAGGAATTGGAAACTCAGGGGTGGGGCCTCGAGTCTCTGTCCAAACTAACCCCCCAAAAGATGTCTGAGACTACCGTCTAGCTGATAAAAACAGTTACTTCTATTTGGAAAGATTATTCAGGTGTACGTATTTTATGGGATGCAATTTCCAAAGTCACTTAGAAAACATTAGTCCGTGCAAGTGTGTGCACCTATGTCACATGCTTCAGGCTAGCAGTGCTGTAGCCCCGTGAACACTGACCACAGTTCTAACACCAGGGGACTGGTCACACACTGCTACATTTTTATCATGGCAAAGACAGAAAACACGAAACAGCAGAACAACTCTGAGAGCTGTCATGTGGGAATTGTGGTCCAAGCTACAACATTACAGCACCAGAACCTCTACACTTACAAGGCTTCAGAACTTAAGTACCTGAAACAACCAGTGTCTCCTCCAGGAATTAAATCATGTCCAGAATGCTCTCTGTGGGACATGATACAATTCCTGTAGGGGATCTGAGCGCCCTGCATGACTCATCCAATCATTCCAAGGAAGGGACACCAAATAGTCACACAGCACTGCTCAGACCCTCTAAATGCAGTACGAAGAAATGTGTAATCTTTCACAATTCATCAAGAGGCAGTAGTAACCTATAACATTTTGGTTCTGGAAATCTGTAAACATTATAAAATAAGAGCATTATTCCAAAGCCAATTTAGAACCTATTCCCCTCACCCCCCAAATAAAAGTTCATTTGTTTCATCATAGACAATTTGCTGCTAAATCCACATAAACTTCCAGAAGTCTAGTCTTCAAATCCTGGGAGTTTTCAGAGTGAACATTCATGGGGCCTCTAAAACTCCCTCTCCAGAAACAGGCTGGAAAATAGTTATGAGAATCTCCTTACAAAAGCCAGGTCACTACACTTGCCTCAGGCCTGCACCTGTCTCACAGCCTTGAAGAGAAGTCTCCATCCACAATGGAGACTCCCACGGGGACACAAAGCGGACAAGAGGGCGAGCCCAACCACCCAGGGGCTGGGCTATCTCTGCCCACCCCGTACCTGGGTTGTGTGAGGCAGGAGGTCTAAGGGCTTAAGTTGTCAGGGACACTGAGAGGGATAAAAGTGGACATATATAGAAATAGTTTTTAAAAGACAAAATAGGCAGGGCACAGTGGTTCACGCCTGTAATCTCAGCACTTTGAGAGGGTGAGGCGGGTGGATCACCAGAGGTCAGGAGTTTGAGACCAGCCTGGTCAACGTGGTGAAACCCCATCTATACTAAAAATACAAAACTTAGCCCGGCATGGTGGGACACACCTGTAATCCCAGCTACTCGGGAGGCTGAGGCAGGAGAATCATTTGAACTCAGGGGGTGGAGGTTCCAGTGAGCTGAAATTGTGTGACTGCACTCCAGCCTGGGCAATAAGAGTGAAGAGCAACACTCTGTCCCCTCCCCGACCCCCTCAAAAAAAAAAAACCCAAAATGACAAAACAAAACAACTGATCAGGCATCTAACTTTAATAATTCCAATATGTTCTCCTGAAGAACTCAGTTTCGCCATCTGGAGATGATCAGACTTCCTACTCACAGAACCTGTAGTGGGATCACTTGTAAAATAGTTTTACTAGGAATCACTCTTTAAAAAGTTGCTACCATTTAGAAAGTCAAAGTTATACAGAATGGCTGGCAAAAGCCTGCCTCATGAGAAATATGCCCAAGCCAGGAGCAGCTGCCCAGAGGTGACCCTGGACACCGTGGCAGGGGCAATCTGTCAACTTTGTGCACCATATTAAAAACAAAGGGCCGGGCGCGGTGGCTCAAGCCTGTAATCCCAGCACTTTGGGAGGCTGAGGCGGGTGGATCACGAGGTCAAGAGATCGAGACCATCCTGGTCAACATGGTGAAACCCCGTCTCTACTAAAACTACAAAAAATTAGCTGGGCATGGTGGCGCGTGCCTGTAGTCCCAGCTACTCAGGAGGCTGAGGCAGGAGAATTGCCTGAACCCAGGAGGCGGAGGTTGCGGTGAGCCGAGATCGCGCCATTGCACTCCAGCCTGGGTAACATGAGTGAAACTCCGTCTCAAAAAAAAAACAACAAACAAAAAAACAAAGGGCAACCTAAGAACCAAATTACCTGACAATTTAAATGTTACTTTTCAAAAGACTCTAAGATGCATGACTCACATCTTTTTTTGAACATATGAAAAACCTAAGGTTTTGAAAATCTCCTTATAATAAAGTCTTAAAAGTTCTGATGCTATTTGAAACCATTTTTCTCCCTATTATAATACTGTATGAGATTTAATATAGTCGTAGCTAACATCTGATTTTAAAAGATTAAAATTTTTAAATAATTTAAACTAATGCTAATTTTAAAAACAAATAATGCACATCTAGAGTAAACAAATTCAAAATGCTCAATGTTTTAATATAAACTCTGACATTTCACTGCTAAGGCTTTCTTAGAATGTGACAGAATCAAAAAATTCCGTATTTTCTTTTAAAGGTATTAGCTCTTTAGCCACTAACAGGAAGTTACCCAATTATTTCTCAACCTATCCTGGGAAAAACCTAGGTGGCAACTATGAAACCCCCCCAGTGTGAGAATACAGGAACCACTGGAGTGTCTTTTCTGAGGTCTGTGGGTGAGAAAGGCTGTGCTAGCAGAAGCGGCCCCTCGGCCGGCGTGCAGGGGAGTCAGGAGAGCTGGAAGAGATAGTTACCCGGGGTTCTTTGGCTCACTCTCTCGTGAACTTCCTCCCTTCAGCTTCCTAACCAGCTTCTCACTGCTGCGTCTAATGGAAGCCCGGAGTTTGCTAAAGGAACCACTGCGTTTTAAAGATCCAGTGCCATCCTGAAAAAAACGTGAACAAACATGAAGCTGCAGGTGGTTCTCCCTCCCTCCCACAAGAGCCACACCGGGTGCAAGTAAGGGCTCCACCAAGGCCGCCCTGCTCGCCAGCAGCTCACTGCTGACAGAGTCTTGCAGAAGCCACCAATTACCATGTACTTTAACTGGAACTTATCCATTTTTAATTTCATTAAAGATAATCCAGTGATCATGAAAACCTTTGGACATAAGGAAGCTCTTGTTACAAACAAAAGTGATCACATCCCAAAAGCAACGTGAATCCTACTGCAATTTTGAGACAAAGCCAGCACACAAGTCTTTAACTTTCCTAGAAAATTAAAGCAGTTTCTAGGAATATCACCAAAATTGATTTCCACATTTAATAGACATGTAAAAGCATGTGGACAAGTAACACAGTAGAGGACCCAAACCATTTGGATCTGACAGAGGCCCTTCCTTTTAACAGTTTTGTCTAAGTGCAGTAGTTGGTGAGGTACTGTTTCCTTCAGTAAATTTTACAGAACAGTTTCATTAAATGTTAACTATAAAGGTGGTTGGAAAATTAAATAAAATGCTCATTCTATGCAAATAACTAAAAATCCTCAGACAACCTTGTAGGGAGGTGAGAGTGGCCAGCTCTCATCTTAATTGATTCAGGTATTAATAAGTGAAATACTTGGCAGTATCTGAACATGATAATTAAAAACACAGAGTAAAGAAAATGTGCATACGGCAACATTTATTCTCGGAAGAAACTCCTTGGTGAGATGAACAGTCACCCCATGACCCTCAGCAGCTGCGCCATGCGGCGTTTCATGGATAGAGTGAGAAGTTCTACCAAGCAGACAGACGCAAGACACAGGTCAGTCGGAGTGAGTTTATTAGAAGTTAGAAAGACACAAATACACAAATCACTGAGCACTTCAAGATTAGTAGAGAAAAGCAGAATGCCCAAATTTCACACAGACTACACGGCAAATGCTACTGGGGCGTATCCTAGGGAGACCCGGAGTCTGCTCGGGGCCCCCAGGGCTCTAAGTACCACGGAGCACGTGCGGCACATGCCTTGCTCTAAGGCTTAGTTACGTCAACAGGTCACCGTCATGCCATTGCAACAACACCTTGTGTGACACTTAACTACCTGTTATCAGAGTGAACAGCTATCGCTCTTAATTTTTAAAGTCGTGTATTACATAGTAAATGGATTTTATTAATACAATTTATATTACTAAGTACATATCTGGCAAAGCTACATGTATACAGAAATCAGGAACCCCCCCCCAAAAAGGACAGCAGCACCGAAAGGAATGGTCAGTCACAGAGAGGTGCAGCTCTGACAAGATCCTAGGGGGCTGCTAGACACAGCGGGCAGCACTGGAGAGAGAAGGGAAGCTGTGGGAGGCGCCACCCATCATGCAGGAGACAGTGTGAGAGTCACGGGCGGCTAGGCCTGTCAGACAGAAAGGAGAGAGAAAACCCACGTGAAACCGCAGTGAGGAAAGGCAACGGGCCCTACATAACACAGCCTGGCTTACAGTATTTCTAGGTCACAAGTCTCAGCAGCCTTCTGAGTGGCTTTAGGACTGGGATGACCTTCTGCCTGCTTCTACCAGCCCAGCATAAAGCAGGTGCCAGGCCTCAGGGTGCATTTCACAGAATCCAGACTGGTCCATTCCCAATGGTCATCAAAGTAAATTTCAACACTTTACAGATTAGCAATGTGTTAGAAATCTCCTTGACACTTAGTGTAAAAGGCTTTACAAGTAACTGTACGTAAGGAGATTATGCAATGAAAAACATAGGGACCACAATAAAGGCTACAATACGGTATGACTTTCATTCTCTTAAAGACACATTGTAGACATTTCAGAAACTTTAGGGAACCACAGACTTTAAAAGTCTACAGCACATTTTAAACATGCAGTTGATAATCCAAAAGAAAATGAATTCCACAGGCAGCACTGCGTCCTGGGTCCTGCCAGATTGGAAAGCCGACGTCTCGACAGAGGCACCAGACAGCAGGGCCTGCGCCCCGCCCGCTCGGACTCACCATGGGACGCTGAGCAAGTCATTTAACCAGCCCGAGCTTCATTTTTCTCATCTTTAAAATGGAAAAATAACACTTGTTACCAACACCTCAAAAATCTTGGGAGGACAAGAAAATTACAAGTTTTTGCTGCTCTTCAGAAAAAGGATGCTAAAATGCTACCACCGCATCAAGTGTGCAGCCCTTGCTGTTCATTCAAAACTCAGTGCTACACTACAGATACTGTTATTTATAATACACCTGAAATACTTGGCGGAACACGGAAGACTCATTTCACTCAGATTTCAAAAGTATTTCATGTGACACACATACACACGCGTGCGCGCTCCCAGGAGTCCCAGAATTGGGGTCCGGCCCAGCTGCCTCCTCCTCCCTGAGCCTCTGCAGACCCTGACCAACACCTAGGACTGGTAATGGAGTAGGTGTGCCCCACTCTGGGTCAGTCTGCCCACTTCCCTGCACTTGCCACCTGAACACGTTGGCCTTGAAAACCAGGGTAAGGCCAGCAGCTGCCCTACCCCAGGCAGATTTCCACTCAACTGGACGTCAGGGTCTGGGAGGATTCACTGCATTCTAACGCCTTAAGAAATGTCTACCTCTTTATATTGCTGGGAAAGAATATTCACATTACAAAGGTGGGTTGGGTTATCTGAACAGGATTAACAGTATAATGTATTCACAGTTTAAAAATAGGCAGTCATTATGTATAGCAGAATTTCATATAATTTGGTGTTTTTTAAGTTTATTTTTGGCATACTTTAGTTGTCTTACTACCGTAATTTTTTTTTTTTTTTAAGATGGAGTCTGGCTCTGTCACCCAGGTGGTGTGCCACGACCTTGGCTCACTGCAACCTCTACCTTACTGGGTTCAAGCGATTCCCTGGCTCAGCCACTTGAGTAGCTGGGATTACAGGCGTGCACAACCACACCTGGCTGATTTTTGTATTTTTTGTAGAGATGAGGTTTCACCATGTTGGCCAGGCTGGTCTCAAACTCTTGACCTCAAGCGATCCACCCGCCTCAGCCTCCCAGTGCTGGGATTACAGACATGAGCCACTACACCCAGCCCTTAGTGTAACTTTTTAAAAATAAAAATTCATCATTTCTAACAATATATTCCATTCCCCAATAATCCTAGGTAAGAATGTAGTATATCAGAAACATGTAGAAATCTTCACATGGGGGCAAGACAGAGGGGGGCTGCTTCAAAAGTCCACAGCAGAGCTGGTGACTTACAGACAGACAAAGGTCTGCAGCCAGGAGACTGACCTCGGGAACTCAGGCTTCACCTAGGATGTAGGATGTGTGATGCAGCTGTGTGTGTCTCATGGGACCACTGTAAAGACAACTGCTTAATGAAGAGACAGCCCAAGGGACTCCCACATCCCAACGGGGACCTGGTGCTGCTGACTGACACATGCACATCACACCATGAACACGAAGTCACACGGACCGTGGTTATAGGAGGCTCAGTTTTATCCAGAAAAGGATTTATGTGTGCACAAAGCAGCTGCACTTTCAGAGGCAAGACGATGAGAGAGAGCCAACTGAGACTCACAGCAACAGCGGCTGCCAGATGTGCACACATCACATGAAAACGAGGTCACAGAAGTGCCGCTGTTCAGTAGTTTAATCACAGACCCTGTGGTGTGTACCTAAAGAAGAGAATTGGATGGGTGCGGTGGCTCACGCCTGTAATCCCAGCACTTTGGGAGGCTGAGGCGGGTGGATCATGAGGTCAGGAGTTTGAGACCAGCCTGGCCAATATGGTAAAACCCTGTCTCTACTAAAAATACAAAAAACTAGCCGGGCGTGGTGGCCTGCACCTGTAGTCCCAGCTACTCGGGAGGCTGAGGCAGGAGAATCACCTGAACCTGGAAGACAGGGGTTGCAGTGAGCCAAGATCGCACCACTGCACTCCAGCCTGGGCGACAGAGCAATACTTCATCTCAACAAAACAAAATAAAACAGACGAGAACTGCACTTCCTTGAACGGACCACCCTCCAGGTCGAGACTTTGATCCAGACGCTCCCTGCACATTACTAGCATCTGTCACCACCTGCCTGCCTTCTCAGTTCTGTGTGACACCAACGCCCAGGGCCACAGGGGACAATTATTAACAAACTTGCCCTTTCTTGGACCATGTAACTCTGTTTTAAATGTTACTTACGAATACTGAGAAAAACTGAGCCCAATATCTGGTGTATGTGGTTATTATAACTTAATCAAAAGCTGTCACATTCATTCCCTGCAGTCACTTCTACTGAAGCTGTGACTGCCAAACGGGAGCACAATGTATTTGCCTATGGTAGTAGTTTCCAACATTTAAAAAAGCATAAAAATGCCTTTTGGGCTGAGGCAGGAGAATCACTGGAACTTGGAAGGCAAAGTTGCAGTGAGCTAAGATTGTGCCACCTAACTCCAGCCTGGGCAATGGAGTGAGACTCTGTCTCAAAAAAAAAAAATAACACACACACACACACACACACACACACACACACACACCCAGGCATGGTGGCTCACACCTGTAATCTCTCTCTCTCTCTGTCACACACACACACACACACCCCCCCAGGCATGGTGGCTCACACCTGTAATCTCTCTCTCTCTCTGTCACACACACACACACACAC